TTGTAGGTACAAACCTTCTCACAAAGAAAACTCTAGGTCCAGATGGCTTCATTGATTAAAAAAAATTAACAGAAACTCTTCCAAAAATTAGAGAAAAGGGGACCATTTCCCAACTTGTTTTTATGAATCTGGAATAACCTAATTATCAAAATCTGACATGGAAATTACAAGAAAAATTGTAGACCCATAGCTCTCATATATAATGCAAAAATCCTAAACAAGCATTAGTAAGTCAAATCCAGCTACATACAAAAAAGAACAATACATCATGATCAAATGGGGCTTATCTCAGGAATGCAAAATTAGTTCGATATTTAACAAGTAATCACTGTCCCTGAAAAAGATCCCTGGCTATATGATCACTTGATCTTCGACAAAAGGTACCAATGCAATCCCACATCTTGCACAGAAATTCTTTTCAACAAATTGTGCTAGAACAATTTTATAACACTATGTGAAAAAATTAACCTGGACTCCAGGGTTTTTATTAAAAAATTAATTTGAGATGGATCTAGCTAGACCTAAGCAAAAAAGCAAAAACTAAGATCTTTTAGAATAAAGAATAGGAGGATATTTTTGAAGTTGGGAATAGGCAAAGATTTCTTAGGATACAGAAAATACACATGAAAGAAAAAATAAGTTAACTTAGACTTTTCTAAATTAGCAGCTTTTGATCATCAAAAAGTTAATTATTGTAATGTACCCCATTAATGAAGGTAAAAGAAAAAATCATATGATCATCTCAATAGATGCAGGAAAAACACCTACGATAAAATCCAGCAGTTATTCAAAATATTACATGCATCGCCCCAACACACCAAGGTTGTAGGCTCAATCCTGTCAGGACAAACACAAGAATCAACACAGAAATGCATAAAAAACAGAACAATAAATTGATGTCTCTCTCCCTGCTCCTTCCCTTGGTCTCTTTAAAAATCAATAAATTAAAAAAATGTTTTAAATTATATAAAATGGCCCTGGCTCGTATAGTTCAGTGAGTGCCAGCCCACAAACCAAAGGGTCGCCAGTTTGATTTCCAATTAGAGCACACGCCTGGGTTGCAGGCTGGGTTCACGGTTGGGGTTGTGCAAGAGGCAACCACACACTGATGTTTCTCTCCCTCTCTTCTCCTCTCCCTTCTTTTCTCTCTAAATAAATAAAATCTTTAAAAAATTGAATCTAAAAAACAAATAAATGAACAAATAGGCAGAAATAGACTCATACATACAGAGAACATTTTGATTGTTACCAAATGGGAGGGAGGGGGTGAAAAAGTGAAGGTCATGATTAAGAAGTACTGATACAAATACAAATTAGTAGTAACAGAACAGTCATGGGGATGTAAAGTTCAGCACAAGGAATACAGCCAATAATATTTAGTAACTATGTATGGTGTCTGCTGATGGGTCAGAGATTGGGATGATCGCTTAGCATGTTATGTCTAATCATTGGGGTGTACACCGGAAACTAATAAAATATTGCATGCCAACTATAACTGAAAAATAAAAAGTGATTAAAAAGAATGTTAGCTAATATGACCATATTGGAAAGCAATCTGACAATAACTAAGATGAGTGTACACACTGCTAAACTAATTTAAAAACGAAGCCATTAGACGGAGGTGACGTTCATGCATTAGTGGCCCACAAGCAAACCAAAACCTAAGCATATAATGATTCAAGGTTAAGAAACTGAACCTAAGGACGATCAACCACGAACAGCCAACTAGGCTTTCCCAAATAATCCACCCACTTAAGTTGTACATAACTAATCAAATAATTGCTTTGCTTTGTTTCTACTTCTTCTCTATAAAAGTCTTTCTCTAGCTTCTCTCGGTGGTGCTTTCCTAACCACTTTTGGTTTGGCTCTGCCTGATTCCAAACAGTTTGTGCATAAATGAACTATTAAAATTTTTAATATGCTTCAGTTTATCTTTTCTACAGTACACATGACGACTCTGCAGTACTAGTCCTGGGTATATATAAAAATGTGGATCTGTGTTGCCAAATGATGTAGACAAAAATGTTTATGGCAGCACTATCAGTAAAATCCTGAAAATAGCCCCAAAGGCTATCAACAGTAGAAATGAATGAATAAAACATGATATATCACACAATGGTATACCTTATAGCAATGAGAACAAAGTAACTACTGCTATATCCAACATGGGTGAATCTCACAAATATAATGTTCAGCAAAGACACACAAAACTATAGACTTCATTTACATAAAACTTGAAAACAAAAGCTATGCTGTTAAGTCAGGGTAATGGTTGCCTCAGGGGAGAGGTAGTCACCGGGAATAAACACAAGTGGGACGTTGGAGTGCTTGATAATCGATTCTGGGTGTTGGTTATACTCACGTTGTAATATTTTAAAGATTTTATTTATTTTTAGAGAGAGGGGAAGGGAGGGACAAACAGAGGGACAGAAATGACTGGTTGTCCCTAGCATGTCTCCAGCTGGGAACCTGGCCTGCAACCCAGGCCACGGTGCCCTGACCAGAATCAAACAGGTGACCTTTCAGTTTGTGGGATAATGTGGATAATGTCCAACCCATTGAGCCACACCAGAAAAGGCTGTAGTGAAAATATTTGAGCTACACATTCAGGATTTGTTTTTCTGTACTTTAAAAATGAATTCTTAAAATACACTCATAAAAACTGATTTCAAGCACTTTAGCAAAACATAAGGACCTTCACAGTCTGGCACTAATCTGCTCCTGGGCCATATTTCTGAAACTTTACATCTTATTCCTGGCTCTGCATTCTCCAAATATTTGTCCTCTGAGTATGTGCTTTGCACTGTCTTGACTACCTCTTGACACTCGGTCTCTCAGTCCCATCCTTTATTTTCTGTTCAGACATCTCCTCTGTGAAGCCTTTCAGACTCACTCCGGTCACTTTCTGGATGCCCACAGTAACTTGTCAAATCTTCTTTTAGCGTCACTTACCATACTCTAATAATATGTGTATGTGTATAATATGTATATGTGTTTATGCTACTAGGGTGTGAACTGCCTGAGAACGAGTGCTGGATTTTCATTTTTGTGCCTCAGTGGAAACATGGTGCCTTATTCATGTATCGGACCTCTGTGACATGTGCCCGGAAATACAGAAGTGAGCTTCTCAAGAGCTTACAGTCTGCCAAAGATAGCACTCAATAAAGGAAAAGGACAGAAGATACCTAAAGGAGCACATAATAGGACAGGAACAAGCATTTTATTTGTTTAATAATTAGCTTTACTAAGGTGTCATTTACCTATGATAACATCACTCTCTTAATGCATATTTCTATAAGCTTTTTCCTCCTGACCCAAACCCAGCTTTATGAGTGATGCTGGAGTCTTTAAAGACCATACGGTGCCCCTGGACGGTTCCCCAGGGCGCCGAGGACTGCCTCCAGGTGTCGGGGACAGTACTGTGTAGCACTTCCACTGGAATGATGTAAATAAAGCTTAGGTGTACACGTTTTCAGGAGGACAGACTAACACCTTGAGACAAATACTGGACATAACACCAGCTCTCAGCAGGGACTGGGTTTTTGGCCAAGGTGGGTAACTTGTAAGTGATTAGGCACTGAGGCTGCAGCGGCCGGTGGCGGGAGGCGGCATGTGGGCCCGAGGCTCTGCTTGGCCCTGTCCTTCCGCCTCCTCAATCATCTTCAGGATGGTTTCTCTGTGCACACTGCTAGCCACACTGGCGTCATCTGGTCGCATCATCCAGCAGATCTGGATGGCGGACAGGGTACAGGTGGCCGGCAGATCAGTGGCTGGCGGCTGAAGGAGAGGGCAGTGTCTGGCCTAGTTCTACAAGTTTTGACAACTGTTTACAGTTGTGCAACTACCCTCACAATCAAAAATAGAACAAGAGTTCTTCTCTCCTCAACTCCACCCCTAGGAAACTGATCTGTTTTCTGTCCCTTAGTTTTGACTTTTCTAGAATTTCATAAAAATAAAAGCATATAGTAGGTAGTTCGTGTTTGTCTTTTTTCATTGGCCTTTAAAATTCATAAAGTTTCTGAGATTTATCCATGTTGTTTTATGTATCAATACCTCATTCCTTCCTATAATTAAGTAATATTCTACTGTATGACTATATAGTTGAGTAGTATATACTGTATGACAATCTGGAAGAAGATCTACGAAAGAACAATGAGAACCCATAAAATAAAGTACTACGAGCCCTGGCTGGTATATCTCAGTGGATTGAGCGTGAGCCTGTGAAGCAAAGGGTCGCCAGTTCGATTCCCAGTCAGGGCACATGCCTGGGTTGCAGGCTAGGTCCCCAGTAGGGGACTCAAGAGAGGCAACCACACATTGATGTTTCTCTCCCTCTCTTTCTCCTTCCCTTCCCCTCTCTCTAAAAATAAATAAAATATTTTTTAAAGTACTATGAAAATTTTATAATTATAAAGAATTTACAACTTCATATATATGTTAACCCCATTATCCTATAGTGGTTAGCAAAAAAAACTTCAAAAACCTAAACAAAGGATAAAAAAAGAATCCTGTGTTTTTATTTGATTAGAAAGTATGTTGAACAACCTCTTTCCCCACAGACAATCCAGGAGACGAAGGAACCTCTAAGACACAGAGTAGCTGGTTGCAACCTGGAACGGAATGTAGACTGAATTCTGGGGACCTGCGGAAAGAAGACGGATCCCTGAAGGTCCCCTACGGGGGTTAGAAGCAGTGCTGGGGGCTTACGGAAACAAATATTGGAGTCTCCTTAACATATTTTTCAAACATTTCTTTCACCTACGAACCTTTTACCTAAGCACTAACAACTATATTCTCCTTCAGGACCGTGTTTTGGTGTGTTTCTCACTGACATAATTAAAAGCAATCCTGTATCTAAGTTCTGTCAAGGAAGCTTCGATGGGAATTTTTTGATTCCCACCTCATGTTACTTGCAGCAGATACTAGTATTTTGGAGTCATGTTCATTCACTAGAGCTAAAGATAAACTGAATAAAAATGAAAATTTATCCTTCAATGAAGGTGCTGACGAGGATCCTAGTTGTGATGAGTGGCTTGCCAAGTACCCTTTCCTGGGTGCAGAACAGTCATGTTGCCAGAGGAATGGAAGGAAAACTGGAAGACCATCTGCATCCTGTCTCAGTGTTTTTAAAATAGCAGGTTAGTTGCATATTTGTACTGCTTTAAAGTGACACCATACAGCCTGTTAGGTAAAGTGCTGCATGACTGTTTTCCAATGGAATTGCTAAGTGCATACATAACTGGGCCATACTGCTGAAAGAAAAACAACAGAAACACTAGTTTTTATATTGCTCTGGAAACAAGAGAATCAATTTAAAGTCAGAATCTTGAAATATAAAATGATTATCTATGTTTATGCAAACATTCCTAAAAGTAGTTAATAATGACATTAATTACTTTTGTGAGTTCTACCTATTCTATTTTTTAAAGATTTTATTTCTTTATTTTTAGACAGGGGAAGAGGGGAGAAAGAGAGGGAGAGAAACATCCATGTGTGGTTGCCTCTCACACTCCCCCTACTGGGGACCTGGCCCACAACTCAGGCATGAGCCCTGACTGAGAATCGAACCAGTGACACTTTGGTTTGCAGGCCAGCACTCATCCACTGAGCCACACCAGCCAGGGCTCTACTTATTCTAATGTATACTTATCCTTAAAAGTTAATAGAATTCTAATACTGAGTAAGAAGCTAAGAGATAAATTAACTTGGGATTTCCTCTTAAGGATACAGTAACAATGTTTTTCATCTTTACAGGAAAGACCTTATCTAAATTTTCTTGTCAAGTTTCCTGACAACTAAAAGGCTATAATCACACCAATAAAATGAAAAATAGTACCAGATAAAGACAAACTAAAACAACTTTTTTATTAAGTGTAAGTATATATGTTTTTTCCTTTTATTTGTCTAGAAATCTGAAAAACGACGTTTCATAATCATATGAAAGCTCTAAGATGCCAGTACCGACGTGCAGTCCATTAACACAAAGTCGCTTTGCTGCTGTGACCAGTTGAGTCGCACTGTGGAAACGACCAAACTGTACCTAACAATGGGAAACACTGCCCAGGACTCAGCTATGGCTGTAGGTAGACTCTCTCGTTAGTTTAAAAAGGATCACTTTTTTATTATTATTAAGCCCATTGCTTAGAAAAATTATATATTGAGCTCCTGCATTTTAATAGGACTTAGATGATCACAACAGCGATATATTAATTACAAAGTGACTACCCTACAGTCACCCGGCCCTTCTAATAAAAACGCCCCTCTGTCTCCCCCACCGGACAAGGCAGACACTGGAGATGAACCACGCTGGCTGAAGTCCTCCACTACAGTTAAAGGACCTAAAAACGGCTTAGCGTCACCTTCAGCATCCAGCAGGTAGACAAGACACTTGGGCTTTGGTAAGGTTTTGTGAAACTACTTTCTGAGTTTCAACCAAGTTCAGGGGGAAAAAACACAACAACAACAACAACAAAAACTGGGCTATGTGACACCGCGGAGCTGACACCCCTCAGTGAGGCTTCCCTGCCACAAGAGTCCTCCATGCTCAGGACATAAATGACCCACACATTACCTTTAACTGCTCTAGGGCAAAAGATGACCCGTCCCGCTGCAAATTTTCAATAATCTGTTCCACAGTATTGGCGGAGAACCAACTATAAGAAAGGAAACACGTGATTTCACCAGTATAATATTTCTTCTTTCTGAGACAGCAATGAACCTAAACATAGGCATCCCCTAAACTCCATTTCAAAAATGAAAAATTTTCCAACCTATTTTACAGATGAAATGATGAAATAAAACACTGCTTCTCTGGGTAAGCGTTTTCAGTGTATCTTCACTAAAATAAAATAAAGCCTAAAGTTTCTCCTTTGCTCTCTCTTGCATCCATTATTTATAAATAAATGATATCTTAACTGCGAAAAACTGAGGCCTCTAAAACGTGGAGATAGTTGTCTTATTTTCCAATAGCTTTTCTCTTCTGTGTTCCTTAAGCCAGTCTGTCAATCTCTCAAATCACTGCACAAAACCATTTGTAGATGGGCTTGGTAAGACCTTCAGAGAAGATGACTTTACAAAGATAAAAGGTAAGTTAATTCAATTATTTTCTAGTCTCTCTACTCCACTTGAAAAAAAAAAAGATTTTTTTAATATAATGGATGTTTCCCCTGAAAGAGTGGTCAAGAAGCTATTTTCAAAAGTAAGTGAAAATAAAAGTACTAAGCTATTTGATTTCAGAATTAGGTACATTATCAAACACAGTGTAATTACAATGTTAGCAAATTCCAATTAATATAGAATTTCCAAAGAAACAGACATGATTGAGATCTCTCTTTAAGTACCTGTTTATTTTGTCCATGTGTTCCTCAAGTATGAAAGACTTGCCTTGATCAATCTTGGACTGTTTGAAAAGAAAATCTTTAATTTGAAGTAACATAAATCCACTTAAAAATCCTTAATAATTTTATATTTAATGATACACTTTGTGACACCTTCACTCAAATTACACCCAACTGCCTCATACATTACTACCATATGTTCAAAATTCAGACATATTTATTTCCGACTAGCACTTGAAAGTGTCAAAAGCCAAAAATGTTCTTGTATTTTTATTTTCATATCATTACATACATTATGTTATCATTAAAATGTGTCAATGAATTTAAGAACTGTAAAGGGCCTGAGAAGTCACCCTGCGCAAACTCCCATGTGATGTGAAAACTCCTGCCACGTCCCTGGTACCCCTGGCAGCGCTGACCTTCAGGGCAGACAGGAGGGCCTCAGGAAGAAACTCAAAAGTGCTTGAAAACTGTAATTAGAACTTCTTTAAAATTCTGAACCAAAAATAAGCCTTCTCCTACTTCTAGTTCTGGTTAATCCCTCCTCTACCTTAACCTTCTCACACAGTGCAGTTTTGGCCCTCACAGTCCAGGGCCTTCTTATGCACAAATTCCAGTTTATCAAGGTCACTGTTAGAGTGTGGAACACATACCTTTGCTGCAGGTGTAGCTGAATTTTAAGAAAATACAATAGGACTTCACATATCCTTGTTTGTTTTGGATACAATGCTTTTATAAATAGAACTAATTCTGGGTTAGTTTTGGGACAATCCTATTAAGCTGCTGATTTATAGTAAACATTACAACTTTTTTAAACCTGTGCCATTGTAGGCTACATTTTTCCTATCCCGTGCTTAAGAATTTGGTATTTTGGACTAAAATCCAAAATTTTCACTCATCTCTATTGTGATACTGTGATTTAAAATCAGTATCTACTTCATCTTTCATTCATAGCTCACAGCTCCCCAAACCCCTGGAATAGCATAAGCAGGGCATCTTTTGTTTTAATAGCTGGTCTTTTGTCTTCAGTTCCTGAAATAAATGTGAAATGGGTGTCTTGTTATTTTTAATAAGCCCCTTCCAACCACACCACTGTTTATGTTAATGAGGTGACTTTTGGAAAGCCCCAAAGGAAGGGGGCTGGTTGCCAGGGGAACCAAACTTGTATTAAAGAGCTGGAAGTGTCAGTCCCATCCCCCACCATCATCACCCCCACCTCTCCACTTCCCTCCTGTCACCTCCAACTGGAAAGGAACTGAGGATTGAACTCAATCACCAATATCCAATGATTTTATCAATCATGCCTGGGTAATGAAGCCTCCATAAAAACTCAGAAAAAAAAAGTTTGGAGAGCTTTCAGGGTTGGTGACCACAATCACATTCAGGGAGAGGGTGCATGGTAACAGAAGCTCCTGCACTTGACACCCTTCTAGACCTTGCACTTCATCTGGCTGTAATTCATGTCCTTTTCTACATCAGTTACAATAAACTAATAAATGTGAAGTGTTTCCCTACTTTTGTGAGCCATCCTGGGACATGGGACTGCCATCTGAAGTGGGGTCAATCTTGTGGGACTGGGTCCCTAAGCTGGGTGATCTGATGCTAACTCCAGGCAGCCGGTGTTAGCATTGACATGCATTAAAGGACGCCTGATGGCGTTACAGAGAATTGCCTGACGGGTGGAAAACTCACACCTCTGGTGTCAGAGTTGAATGTGGCAGTACAGTGCAAGCAAAGAAAAACACATGAATCTATTAAATTTCACATTTGTTGCTATTAGATCCCGCTAAACTCAAAGGGTTGTTTTTAATCCATAGTCTTTTACCTAATTTGATTTATATTTTTAGTTTGAAATCAGTTTGATCCAAAACGCTGTCAACAATCTCATGCAAATCTCGGGAAAAAAACTGAATAAGACAAGGCTAACATGACTTTTCTTACAGACTAATTGCTACAGATTTAACAGAACTCTTTGGTAAGGCTATTCAACCCCCACACACTGGAACCCAACCCATGTTTACCCAACTTGCCAACATGAGAGGCTGTCAAGTGCTGGGCAAAACCCTGAAGAGATCCTCACATGCTGTGTTCATATGAACTGCACTGAGCATTCAAGGGCCCTGTCTGTGGGGGACAGTGAAGGCTGGCATCATATGGCCAGAACCTGCGGGGGCTGAACAGGCGCTGGCTAGATAAGGCGCTGAACCACAAGCTTCAGCTGAATGTGACTATAACTACTGCAGAAGACATATGTACCAGTTAGATAGCCTGGGAACAGAACAATCTGTGCCTGCAGCATCTCCCTAAATTTGCAAAACGTCCTTGAGCGATATCTAATCCACCCTATAAAATGAAGCCGGAGCCCAGGTTCAGGGCTCACTGTCTCTCCATCAGAGGACAATGTTCCACCTGGTCCCTGTTTCTCCCTAAACTATCTGTGTTGTTTTTCTTCGTCTCCTGTGGACCCCTCTCAGGTACCCCAACTCCACACTGGCTGTGGCACCTGTCCATTGGTACTCGTATGTGCTTCACTTCTGGGTAAGTTTTTGGTATTATTTCTCTAAATATTTCCACCACTGAACCTTCTTGTTATGAATTCCTAGTAAGTATGTATTAGGCCTCCTGGAATAATACCTCTAATTTGCCTTTCTCTCCAATTTCCATTTTATTATTCGTTTTGTTCTCAGAGTTTCCCTCAACCATTAATTTTAATCTAATCCATTGAAGATTACTCTCCCCCCACTTGCTATCCTATTTTAAATTTTTTTGTTCTTTGATTACTTCTTTGCATGACAGCCATTCTTATTCATATATGAAATATTTTCCTCTTATAACAGTTATACATTTTTTCTTTTTAAAGTTTCCTTCTCCCTGCATCGTCTGCTTCCTTCAAGTCCCTTTTTTGTTCACTTTGGTCAATCTCTGTTTTTTTATGCCTGGCAATTCTTGTTTTTCTGTGTAAAGCACTGAAGTTAGGAAGCTTTGTATGTGTTGACTGCAGTTACAGGACTGTCAATTGTCTAATGCATTGAAGATGTTCGGGCAAGGACCTGGGTATTGCACTAAAGACTCCTCAGATGTCAGTATCTACAGGTTTTTTTCTTTTTCTTCTAATACTGCTTGAGAGTAGGATGATGCTATGGACTGGATGTTTCTGATCCTTCCCCAAAATTCATGTTGGAACCCTAATCACCATTGTGATGGTACTTGGAAGTAGGGACTTTGGGGGTTATCAGGACAGGAGGGCAGAGCCCTCACGGAGCCTGTCTGCTGTTCCCTCTGCTGTGTGAGGCTACCGCAAGGCGGCTCCCACTCGCAAACCAGAAAGAGGACCCTCATCAGGAACCTACCGGGTTGGCATATTGATCTTGAATTTTCCAGCCTTCAGAACTGTGAGAAATAAGTTTCTGATGTTTAAGCCACCTAGTCTATGGTATTTTTGTTATAGCTGTCCAAACGGACTAAGGCAGATGGTATGTAATGGTTCTAGGAGCCACCAGGGAGAGAGGCTAGAAGTCTTCCCATTAGTATGTTTCTTTTCAGGAGATCACCTGACCTGCCCCTGACCCAGCCCCAGCCTGTCTGATTCCATCTCTTTAAGGAGTCTCTACTCTCCTGCCAGGATATGAGAAGGCACCTGCTTAGAAAAATTTGCCAAGATCTTCCCGTTTTTCTGCCTTATTCCACAGCCCTGTCTTCAGAGTGAGGTGGTGCCTTGCAAAGGGTCTACAGCAACAACTGGCTTGCTTCTTGTTGGCTTCCCCCACTAAAGGATAAGATTTTAGTGTTCTCTCTCTAAGGTCACTGCCCTCATCCTTTCAAGGTTCCAAAATATTGGCGACTCATGCCTGCCACGGTTTCCTCTGCTATTCTATTTGTCTTTGTGGGTTCATGACCATTTTATTTCTTATTACCATTTAAGTGGGTTTTAGGAGACAGCATACATTCAATCCGTCATGTTTAACAAGAAGTCACGTAGCATTTTAATAGATTCTTGGCTCTTAAAAGTAAATTTAAGTTAGATAACATGACTAATTAAAAGTAAACACTGCAGTATACTGCATTATATTTATTTATATAGCAGAGTTTCACTTTAGCATCTCCCCAAACAATGTCACCATTGAACATCCAGTACAGAAATGCCACAGTGTATTGCAAAAAGCCCCTGCAAGGACCAATCACAACACTGTGCACTGAATTTCACAAGCAATGAGAAGATAAGCTGTGTAGTTGCACAGCAGTATATTCTTAGACAGCTTTTGTAACAATCCTTCCATCAAGCTTTGAAGTAAATAAATCTCAGTACATTTATTTGCATCTACAAACCATAATGTTCATCAATTCCTATTTTTCAATCACCCTTCCCTATGAATTAAAATCCGAGTTTAGAATATCATATACCTTTGTATGATACGTTTCTAAGACATCTGCAATATTTTCTTTTGAAGGAGATTTCAGGGCTAACAAATCTTCTTCTAACATGCCCAACTAAAGGTAAAAAAAAGAAAAAAGAAAAAAAGGTGGGGACAGATTTGAAACACCACAGTAACACAAAAACAATTTTTTAGAAATCTTATATTCTTTTTTTATATTCTTTTTTAAAGCTCCTGTCTTAAAATCATGATGCTTGCTCTCTTCGGCTGAGTTAGACAAGGACATGTTCGCTGAAGATGTGCACACACATCCCCACGCAGCAGATGTTGCCTTGCAAGATGTGAATAAAGCTGGGAAAATGACAGAGGACGAGTAGAGACACTCACCTTTGTTTCCCTCTAGTTACTGAGCACTTGAAGTGTGGTAATACAACCAAAGATCTGAATTATAATTATTTTACCTAAAATTACCATGTGTGACTAATGACTACTATAATCACACAGCTCTGTATCATAGCCACACCTGAATCTCCGTTTACACCCCTCACATACGTCTCCTATGCTCCGCCAAATGGGGCTTTTTACTGTTCCAAAACATAGCTAATGCTTTCCTGGCCCCATGTGCTTGCTTATTAAATGCTTCCTCCATCCAGAATGCCTTTTCCTGACCATATGCATCTTAAAACCCAGCTGAATTGCAACTCTTTGAGAAAACACCCAGTCCTTCAAGTAAGCCCTTCTTCCTTTCAGTAACTGCTGAGTATTGTCTTTACACTTGCCATATTTTACTCTGTTCTATGAGACAGACTGTTATTTACATTTTGTACCCACTCCTGTCCGGCCCCACCCCCAGAGTGTGTTGTGCATTACTCGTTTCTGTTATCCTCCACAGACCCTGGGAATGGCAATCTACTCACTGCAGGTACTACGACCAGGCTAGCTAACGAAGAAGGAGAAGGTTGCCAATCAGTTCTCGGCCACCCTAACTGAAGTCCACTATAATCAAGAGTGTCTCCTCGGAGTAGATAATGGAGTGCCCACGTTTGTTTCCTGTTACAGTTCAAGAGAAGGGTGAGCTAGTCACCTGCTCAATGTGACTGAGGATGCCATAACATGGAACAAGATCTGAAACTTCAAGCAAATGTGATGGAAGGTACTTGTAACAGTGCAGAGGGACCGTCTTCAACTTTGTCTACTTCATTCATTCTTATAGCATTCCTCCTGCTATCCCAAAACACCCCTCCCTCGGGAGCAGATACTCATTTGGAGATCTATATGCTTCCTGAAAAGCTGAGGTCACCCCACAGCTACAGGGACGGAGCACATTAGCTAGGATAGGCTATGCAGTATATTCCACCCACCCATGTGGTTCAAGGGTGATATAAACCAGTCCAGTCAGAGTGAGCTAAGTCAGCTGAAGCAGAATAAATCCCAAACATCTTTCTGGGAATTCTGAGACAAAGTCACCTTGGACTGGCTTTTCTGTTACATTTAACACAAGTAGTTTCAACTACTGTGATAAAACTGGTGCCCCTATTTTAGAGATGGGAAAATGCAACCTAGGATTTAAATCCAGACTGGCTGGCTACATATTATTCGCCACTGTGCTAAGAAAATTGGAACACTGTTTTTTAAAAAAGACAAAGTAACACTGTCCCTTGCAACAGATATCCTTTAGGAAAGTCTTTAAGAGCATAATTTACAAATGCACCAGGAAAACCAAAAACTAAAAGAAACTTTCAAAATGTTTTTATGAAATAAAAGGCTAGCCCTGGCTGGTGTGGTTCAGTGGACTGAGGGCCAGCTTACAAACCAAAAGGTCGCTGGTTCGATTCCCAGTCAGAGCACATGCCTGGGTTGTGAGCCAAGTCCCCAGTTAGGGCCAGTGAGAGGCAACTGATTGATGTTTCTCTCACACACTAATGTTTCCATCTCTTTCTACCTCCCTTTCTTTCTCTCTAAAAATAAACAAATAAATATTTTTAAAAATAAAGCCTATCTTTTATATATATAACTTTAGATTTTATATAGTAGACTTCCCTAAAGTATATATCTTTTATAGAATGTAATAATTCATTAAAAAAACATTCACTGATGGCACCAGACAAAACAGCTCTGAATCTAGATAAAATCACCTCCATTTTGTGTATGAAAAACCTGAAGCCCTGGCTGGTGTAGCTGAGTGGATATGGTTCACCAGCCTGTGAACCGAAAGGTCGCTGGTTCAATTCCCAGTCAGGGCACATGCCTGGGTTCTGGGCCAGGCTCCCAGTAGGGAGTGTGCGAGGCAACCACACACTGATGTTTCTCTCCCTCTCTTTCTCCCTTCCTTCCCTTCTGTCTATAAAATTAAATCAAATGTTTTTTAAAAATAAAAGAAAATGAAAACTGGAGAACTTAAGAACCTCCCCTAAACTCCAAGAGCTTTAAGCAGCAGGTCCAAGATTCAGACTCATATCTACCAAAGGCCTATGATCTCAACCACTCACACCGCCCCCTGTGCAATATGAGTTATTCCAACAACATCAAATGCAACCATCCAGGTAATTACCTTTTCAGAATCTACAAAGTGTGTAGCAATCCCTGCTGCGTGCACATCTCTTCCTTTCAGCCTGAATCCTGTTAATGCAAGTAAGTAACCAAGTTTTCCTTGAAGTCTTGGCAAAAAATAACCTCCCCCGACATCAGGGAATAGCCCTGTAATTAAATAACAACAAGATAACAATGATTCAAGCGAAGGATACGAACATAACTTTCTTTACTTCAGATCATATTGGTATCGAAGGATGCGCACCTGTGAGGAAACTGCGTGAGGCCAGGCCAAGACCATAAAGAGGGAGTACAGACGAGAGTACGAGGAACCACATAAAGCTGGGAATAGTCCCTGTTCCCAGCAGTCAGATTAGGAAAACTCATGATTCATGCAGCACTGAGTAGAATCAAAATGGAAAATAATTTGCACTAGCCTGATTCTCACACAAGAGTCTATCAATTCCTTCAACAACAATATAATCTGAAATGTATCAAAATAAGATCATGTAAAAATTATGAAAAAAAATTTTTTATACCTATTGCAGTTTCTGGCATTGCAAAAAGAGACTTTTCAGTAGCCACTCGGAAGTGTCCATGAACTGAGACTCCAACTCCCTAGGGAAATAAGACAAAAAAATGTTTTAAAATACTATAAAAAATAAAAACACACTCATACACTCACAATATTATGGACCAAGTAAATTATATTCCACAGGAATTTCTTTCAGGAGACAGACTGAGGAGAAACCCTAAACCACACAATCTCAGAAAATCTTATCAGGTAAAACAACATGTGGGTGTCCCTGGTACCTGGGATAGATCTGTTTTTAGCTCAGATGTTTTCACTCAGTATTTTCGTGTTACGCTTCGTGTCCTCTCCCTCAGGTGCCTCTCGTTTCAAACCAGATGCAGCATCAGAGAGCACTGACTTCTCAGAGCTACTGAGCGTTGCGAGTGGAACCAATCTTCAAAAAGACACAACCAAGCTATTCTGGAAAATTCCAGTAGCTTTAAGTAGAATACTAACACATTTATTCATATATTTTTATCAAATACAATTTGCAACATCATTTTTTCAGATACAATGGGGCCAACTACATAACTCATTTAAAATGGTTACTAAAACATTTCGGAAATAAAATGAATGGCTGAAAATTCTGTCTCTGTTGAATGTCACTGAAAAGGACAAATTTAATGACCATCTCTCAGTAGAAACATATTTGAATGAACATATTTGAATAAACAGACATTTGAATAAAATAAGAGGTATGCAAATAAAGTATCCAAATTTATGTCACATTATAACATACATTTCCTATGTTCTTTTCACACTGTTCAGAACTTTTATTAGATTCAGTTCTCACCCTTAACCCTTTCTACCCAATCACACAGTTAAATTAGTTAAAACAGAAAATGTTTGAAACAGTCAGGCTTTCAGAGTTCTGTAAGAGTGAGCTCAACAGAAAGGGAAATAAAAGGTTATCAGGTCTTCAGGTGTCTCTCAGATGGTTCAGGAAAAAAGTATTCACAGACAGATGTGGGAGAGAGGAAGAGAGAAAGAACAAACATGGAAAATGAGAACAAGGAATGTGGATAAAAGATATACAGGAGGTTTTTTACGCTATTTTGCAACTTTTCTGAAAGCTTGAAATTGTTTCACAATAAAAAAGTTTTCAAAAATTAAAAATAAATGTCTCAAAGAGAACAGAGCCTACAACCACAGTTAAGAAAACAAACTCAGAAAGGTATTCGACAGGGTGATGTGGTAAGCGCTTCCACAGAGTCACGGGTTGAAGTTCTAATCAGAGAGAATGTGTAAGCTCCTGCTCCGAATGAACACTGCATCAGCATCAGAGAGAATGTGAGAGGCTTTCCTCACCATCATTCAGTCATAAACGGTGCATTATTTTCTAACCTGTAAAATTAAATACCACGAGTTTCTTCATGTATCTCTGGAGTGCTAGCAGCGTAGTCAGCAGGTCCACAGTAACAACAAGTAACTTTACTATGCGCCACACATTAATGTTCATACTCTAAGACTGCACATAATAAAATTAATATATTAACTATATAAATACTAATGTATTTGCATAGAGTAATATACAGAGATCAGTAGGAAATACATTTTTTATCCCACAGTAAATGCCTATACCAAGGTCTGTCCAGGAAAAGGCCAGCCATGGTTAATATAACAAAAACAGTTTGTGTGACATTAATGTAACCTGGCAACCAAGGAGAGTGGACTGGAATGCACATATTTAAACAATGACAACTTCACTGTACTTGTAAGTAGGGGCAGAAGACATTGCTAAGTGAGCATGTGTACTGTGTGGCCATCACATTCAAAATGAGCAAGTGGAGCAACAAATCTGCATCAAATTTTGCCTTAGGCTTCAACATTCCTCCACAGAAACTATTCAGGTGATTCCAAAGGCTTTCAGGACGATGCAATGAGTGCAGTACAAATAAGTGTGGCACAAATGCTTCAAAGATGGTCAAGAATCTATTGAGAGTGATCCACATTCTGGAAGGCCTGCAACAAGCAGAACACCTGAGAATGTTGAACGCGTACAGGCTGCAATCAACAAAGATCAGCAACTGACAGTGTGAGAACTAGAAGCTGATCTGGGGCTTCCAAAAATACCGTGTCCAAGATTTTGACGCAGGATCTTGACTTGAAACATGTTGTAGAAAAATTCATTCCATGGCTTCTGCTTACCAGAGCAGAAGGAACATCATGCTATGGTTGTTCATGACTTGATTTAAACTGCTGCTACCAATAAACCACATTTCCACAAGGTCATAACCGGAGATGAATCATGGGTCTACAGCTGTGATCTGGAAACAAAGGCCCAGCTGTCCCAATCATCCCAATGGCAGTTGCCTGACTCTCCACGCCTGAAGGAAGAAGAAGGCCCCAAAGTTGCAGCAAGATCAGGACCACGTTAACTGTGTGTTTTGATTGGGAAGGTGCTGAGCATCACAAGTACGTTCCTCCAAGCCAAACAATCAGTAAGGAGTACTACCTGAGTGTTCATCATTTGAGAGATGCAGTATGGCAAAAATGGTTGCTCACAGCTACGGACAACTGGTGATTGGCAGCTTCATCACAACAATGTGCCTGCTCACGCACTGTATCTTATGCAGAGTTTTTGGCAAAACATCAAATCACCCAGGTGACTCGACCTCCCCACAGACCAGATTTGGCACCCCATCACTTCTGGCTTTTCCCAAAACTAAAATCACCTTTGAAATGGAAGAGATTCCAGACTGTTGATGAGATTCAGAAAAATACAGTGGGGCAGCTAATGGTGATTCCAACAAAGGATTTTGCAGATGTTTTTAACAGTGGAAGAGACGCTGGGAGAACTGTGTGAGGTCCCAAGGTGCCTACTTTGAAGGAAACTGGAGTGTCATTGTCCTGTGTACAGTGTTTCTTGTATCTTGTATCTTCTTCAATAAAGGTCCCTTTTCCACATTACATGGATACTTTCTGGGCAGGCCTCATGATTCACATTATTTTTGAACAAAAATTATATTCAACAGAAACAAATAATTGAGGCAGAAATATTTATATATAACTGTCTGTCATTCTTGAAGGTACCATTTTACTTTAAACAAAAGAACCAGGAAGATATTTGAAACTTTTTAAGAGAGTAAATATTAATTTTCATTATAAGGAAAAAAACTGTTAACGATGCGTGGTGATGGATGTTAACGAAGCTTACTGAGGTAATCATTCCACAACATACACATATATCAAATCATTATGTTTTACACTTAAAACTAATACAATGTTATATGTCAATTGTATCTCAATTTTTAAAAAGGGAGTAAAAATCTGAATTTCACTGTCCAATCTAGATACCTGGAAATAATCCTTGCCTCCTTCTCTTTATCCCTCATATTCAATCCATCATCAAATCCCACCAAGTCATCTCCTAAATATCTCCCTTGCATCTATCTAGTTTCCTGCCCCTTCATTATCTCCAACCCAACATGGTGCAGATGGAGTGGAGGCAGGGTGAGGATGGCACAGGGAGAGCAGGGGTCCGGCCACTTTACCAAGACCCTAGGGTGCTTTTACAGTTAAAAACAAAACAAACCAGAATCCTGACCAACCTGTCTATAGGAAATGGCCAAGGAAAAAGGAAAAGAACTTCTATAGATCTGATCTTTAAAGTTAACCTGTAAGTCACAAAGTTGCCAAGACTACCCATTACCCTAGAAAGTCAAAGTTCTATTTCCCACAACTCAATACCTTATAAGAGCAATTATCAACCAATGTGCCACAAGAATTTTTAAAACATGCAATACCTGACTATTTAGTCAGGGGGACTGACCTCTTTCTGCTTAGATGTCAAATAAAAAAAGTGACAAGAGCCAACACAATAGCCACCCAATGTGAACAAATAAAAATTATACCAATTTTTAAGTCGAAATAATGTTTTTGGGTGTGCCACAGGTTTTTAGTAATCAGTTATGTGTGCATGAGGTGAATAAGGTTGAAAATCGCTGTTTTATAATGACGGTGGGGACTGGGGGTGGCAGCAGGCAGTGAAGCCAATTTCCCGTTAAGGAAATAGAAGCACTTCCCAATTCTGTATTTAGATATCCCTGGGCTAAAAGTCAAGGGGGGAAGAGTGATGAAGTAAATGAAGAATAAAGGGTTCTTTCTACCTAATAAGAGAGAGCAGGGTGAGATGGAGTTGAACACTTCAAGAATATCTGTTAAAGGTAATTCATTGCATTTTGAAAAATATAACATCATGCTTACTAGGAAAAAGGTTCACTGTGAAAATAAATGACTCCAAAAATTTACTATGAGAAATCCTGCAACTAAAAGCAATCCTAACTCTCCCCTGATATGGCAGAAGGAAATCTAATTAGAGAGAATCCCATGGAAGAAAGGGAGACCTGTCCCTCTCTATCAAGGAAAAGAAGACGGCCACCCACAGGTGGAGAAAGTTCAGCGGTGAACACATAAAAATGATGGGCATAACCACACTCTCCATACACTTAGAAACCCAAAGGAAATTTCCTGTGTATTCCTCTTTTCAGAGTTCCTCTTCTGTTACTAATACTTCAGTCCTAAAGGAGTATAGTTTTCACATCCTTTTTTGTCTGATTATTCTTCCTCTTGTCGAAGAAATAATAAATGGAGCCCCTTTAAACTGGAGCTGGAGCTGCCATGCCAGAGGAACTGCCTTGCACCTCTATGCCTCAAACTTTTGGAACATCAAAACAGCAAAATAACTTTGGGATTGGGCCTAAAGCAAAAGTGTGTTTGCAAAGATAACAAGAGAGCAGATATTACAACCACAAGACTGATGACTATAGGTTTGAAAAATTTTTTAATTGTTTAGAATTAGCATCACTGTGTTATGTTTTGGGCACCAATAGAAATGCCTTCCTTCTGCTGATGTAATTGCTCCCCTTCCCTTTCTCATAAATAACCATTACCTTCATTTTCTAATCAGAACATTATTTGGGCTTCTATCTGAATCAATACTTCCCAAATAGCTACTCTTATTCTTTTTTTAATCTCAAATAAATGCCTGTTGCCTCTCACTTTGACAGGCCCTTTTATTTTGTGATTGTACTGCAGTTCCTTTCTTTAGTCTCTGACTGGCCAATTTTATCATAGCACATCCACTTCCAGTCTAGTTTCATCACACTTATGACTGGCAGCTTCCACCCTAAACCTGCAAAGGATCACAGGGCTCACCTCATATATGACATTCCTGTATCTGAAATCAGATCACCTTGATCTACACAACCAGGCTTAGCAACAATATTGTCTATCGACAGACAAGCACACTACAAGGAAAAAAATTACAGGCTAATGTTCCTGATGAACACAGATGCTAAAAATCCTCAACAAATTATTAGCAAACCACATTCAACAATACATTAAAAGCACCATATACCATGATCAAGTGGAACTTATTCCTGTGATGCCAGGATGATTCAAAATATACAAATCATGGAAAACAGTATGGAATTTCCTCGAAAAACTAAAAATGGAACTGCCTTTTGACCCAGCAATTCCACTGCTAGGATTACATCCTAAGAACCCTGAAACACCTATCCAAAAACCCTATGCACCCCAATGTTCACAGCAGCACAATTTACAATAACCAAGCGCTGGAAGCAACCTAAGTGCCAATCAGTAAATGAATGGATAAAAAAACTATGGTACATTTACACAGTGGAATTCTATGCAGCAGAAAGAAAGAAGGAGCTCCTACCCTTTGCAACAACACGGATGGAACTGGAAAGCATTATGCTGAGTGAAATATGCCAGGTATTAAAAGACAAATACCATATGATCTCACCTTTAACAGGAACCTAATCAACAAAACAAGCAAGCAAGCAAACTATAACCACCAAAGACACTGAAATTGAGAACAGGCCAGAGGAGAGAGGGGAGGGGATTTCAGGGGTAAAAGGTGAAGGGTTTGCAGGAACAATTATAATGGTCACATGGACAGTAACAAGCTCAGGTGGAAAATGGGAGGGAGGTGGGAAGGACTGGGATGATGGGGAGGAGTGGGGGGAAAAGGCAGAAAACTGTACTTGAACAATGATTAAAAAAGTTAAAAAAATAAAAATTTAAACAAAAAATATGAAATCAATGTGATGTGACTATATTAACAAAATGAATAAAAATCATACAATAATTTCATACAATAGATGCACAAAAAGCATTTGACAAAATCCACTATTCTTTTATGATAAAAACATTAAATGAATCTGTTATATAGTCGTGGACCATATCACTAGGTTTCTGTCAATGACAGACCGCATATACCACAGTGGTTCCATAAGGTTAAAATGGAGCTGAAAACATCCTGTCTAGTGACGCTGTAGCACAACACATTAATGTGCTTGTGGTGATGGCATAAACAAACCTACAGTTGCATGAAGATGTAGCACACGCTACTAGGTACAGTACATAACACTTAATAAAGGTGATAAAGGACTTGATAAAAGTCAACACTTGATTAAACACTTAATAATTAACACATTCTACTACAGCTCACATATTAATGATTAGAATAAGAGAGTCTGCTTACCCCACCCATTGTAATTCCATGAATAAGTGCAACATACGGTTTCTGGCAAGAAGCTAAAAGAAACAAAGCTGTAATTAGTTACAATGTTTAATAATTCTTTTTTGTTCTTCAAAAATTACAGGTCACATGAACTCTATTTTCCCAAGGAAATTTTAAAGGCTTTTTATTTATTTATCTTTAGACAGAGGGGACTGGAGGAAGAAAGAGAGTGAGAGAAACATCAATGTGTGGTTGCCTCTCACATGGCCCGCAACCCACACGTGCCCTGACTGGGAATCAAACCAGCAACCCTCTGGTTCGCAGCCTACACTCAATCCACTGATCTATACCAGCCAGGGCATCCCAGGGAAATTTTTGCAAGAAATATCAAGGTAGACTAAATGTATGGCTTGTAAAATGTTCTTTTTAAAATGTCAGTCCATAAACAATCCTGATCATCTGTTCATTATCATATAACAACTCTACACTTCCATGAAACAAATGAAAGCCTTGTTTAATTCAGCTGTACAGAAATATACTTAACTACTCTGTAAGCCACTGATGTTCATATACACAGTTGTACTTTAAAGAACATAATTTGTTTCCTAAACATCTGAAGTAGTAGCTGGGTTCAAAGACAAGTGTAGCCTAAAGGAAAAAGCAAGGACTGGAAGTCAGAAGCCCCAGACTGTAGTCTCGGCTTTGTCATTAACTAGCACTTCAACTATATTCAATAAACATACTGACACTAGGCAGAAATATACATATTTACATGTGTGTACAAACACACAAGTTATGTGCATGTCATTAAGTGCAGAGCATATACATAATATGTAGATAAGTTTCCTCATCTATTACGTGACAATATATGGCCTCAGAAGTCCCTTCCAGCTCAAGAATTCTATAAACTTTTACTCTCCCTTTCCCTTCTGATCCTCGCTGAGAGGGAACTGCTCACAACAAAAATGTAGAGCTGAACTTCTGTTTGTTTGTTGCCAATATTACTTCCTTACCTAAGACAAATATAAAACTGCAGTTTTGATCCATCTAGCATTTCTATAAAATATTTTCAGTTTATTAAATAGGCTACCAAAGCACAAATCTAACTTCATATTCACAAGGACATCCACAGCCTTCAATTTTGAACTATAATTCCCTAGAAACTATGGAAAAAAATTTTTTACTTAAAAATTTTTATTGATTGACTTTTTAGAAAGAGAGAAAGAGAAACGTTGATTTGTTGTTTCACTTATCTTATGCATGCATTTATTGTTTCTTGTATATTCCCTGACCAAGATCAAACCTGCAACCTTGGTGTACTGGGAACGATGTTCTAACTAGCTAAGCCATCTGGCCAGGGTGGAAAGAATTTCTCTATTGATTATAGATACATATATTTCAGATATAAAATATAATAATAACTGATGCAAGACATGAAGCCAGAATTTGTCAAGTTCCTTATTGACTAAACTGTCATTACAACATAGAAAAATATACTTATTTTTCAGATTATAAGACACACTCCCCCGAGCCCCAAATTTGGGAGAAAAATGCAGCTGCAACCCTGTTCCTGCCTCCTGTGATCCAGCTCCACCGCCGCACCCCCACTCCCCAGCAAGCTAGGTAAGCTACATTTGGAGTATAAGATGCACCCCCATTTTCCTCCCAAACTGGGGGAGTGGAATGTTCGTCTTTTAGTCTGAAAAATACGGCACCTTGAAGGCTTTTTTCTTTCTCTCTGTACATTAATATTTTACCAAACTCTCTTTTCAAACAACTTAGAGCTCTGTTTTTTTCCATCTCCTTTTATTTAGTACGGATCTACACTGTCAAAAATAGTAACCTCTAGCTAAAATTAGCTATTTTAATTACTTATGATTAAATAAAATGTAAACTTCAGTTTCTTAATCACACGTGCCTCCTGTCAAGTGCTCACTAGCCACATGTGACTAGTGGATGTCATGTTGCACAGCACACACACAGAATATTTTATCACTGCAGAAAGTCCTAATGGCCAATACTGGTACACATTTATAGAATGAAGAAAACACTCTAAGTAAATTTGATAAATACAATTTTAGACTTAAAGGAGTGAGAAATGCCCATTCAATTAGGCCACAAGCAAAAATGGAAAACACCTCTTTCTCCCACTCCTACTCCAAAGACATAGAAATTCTAGAAAAAATAATGCATATCCAAGTTCAAAGCAAAACAAGGGAAATCTCTACATGCCAGAAATAAATAAGAAACTCAGATCAACAGCTGAGTAGAAGCTATAGCCAAAATTATGAGTGTATTTGATTTTTCAGCTGGGAATAAATTTTGGGCCACATACCTTATGCAATGAACTACCCACAAAAAGCTTCATGTTAGGAAGAGCTATTCAATAGGTAAAACATGACTAGAAAAACTCAATTATAAGTTCATACCAGGAGAAGAGAGAAAAGTCAGAGAAACTAGATAGATGCTGAAGAACTGGATAACGACCACTTCCACCAGCACATCTGAACAAACAAAATGAAACATCCCCAACAAATGTGGAATCAAAGTAACACCCATAACCTAGTAAAAAGTGTCTACAAAAAGATTACACTAAAGAATGAAATTCTAATGCTTTCACATAGACATCAAAAATAAGACAACACTACAATTATTGAACATTATATTATAAAAGAAGTCCTAGTCAAAATACCACAAGAAAAATCATAAATATAAAAATTGGGACCCAAGAAGAAACACACCAAGGCACATCATAGTTAAATTATCCAAGATTAAAATGAAGGAGAGAATCCTAGAAGCAGCAAGAGCTAAGGGCACAGTCACCTACAAAGGAGTTCCCATCAGACTGTCAGCTGATTTCTCAAAAGAGACCTTACAGGCAAGAAGGGGCTGGAAAGAAGTATTCCAAGTCATGAAATCCAAAGACCTACATCCAAATTGATCTATCCAGCAAAACTTTCATTTAGAATGGAAGGGCAGATAAAGTGCTTCTCAGATAAGATCAAATTCAAGGAGTTCATCATCACCAAGCCCTTATTATATGAAATGTTAAAGGGACTTATCTAAGAAAAAGAAGATAAATATGAACAGTGAAAGGACAGCAAACACAGTTATTAAGAACCACAGCTAAAATAAAAGCACACTAAGAGGACAGCTAGATCAGGAGCAGAACCATAGAAATGAAGATCACATGGAGGGTTAGCAATAGGGGAGTGGGAGAAGGCGAAGGGGGGAGAAGGTACAGAAAATAAGTAGCATAGATGGTAGGTAGAAAATAGATAGGAGGGAGGGCAAGAATAGTATGGGAAATATAGAATCTAAAGAACTTGAGACACGTGGGCATAAACTAAAGGGGGGGAATGGTGGGGGAGGGGTGTGCAGGGTGGAGGGGAATGAAGGGGGAAATAGAACTGTAATGGCATAATTAATAAAATATATTTAAAAAATAAAAATACAAAAAACCCAAAGTAATACTATTTTTTCTCATAAATATATACTAAAAATATGGAGTATGGTCTAACAGGATGAACTACGAATTAATGACAATGGTTGCTTCTCAGGAAAGATAAAGGTTGTTTCTGGGGAGAGAAAGAAATAGCACTGAGAAAAGCAACAAAGTAAGCTGAACTATCATTTTAAAACTTGTAGCCCCGGGTGGTATAGCTCAGTGGATTGAGCGCCGGGCCTGCGAACCAAGGAACTGAGGTTCAATTCCCAGTCAGGGCACATGCCTGGGTTGCAGGCCAGTTACCAGCAGGGGACGCCCAAGAGGCAACCACACATTGATGTTTCTATCCCTCTCCTTCTCTTCCCCTATCTCTAAAAATGAATAAATAAAATCTTTAAAAAAAACGTGTAGAATTACCTTTCTTTTATATAAATTATAAAACTTCAAGCAAAAATAAAATACTGATGTCTGTTCATTCTGTGCCAGTGGGTACACAAGTACTTATTGTACTATGTCCTATAATTTAACATTTAAAACACATACTTGGTAAAACTACTGTTTCACTTCCAATCAAATCTGGAACATCAACTATAAAGAAATTTTCATCCCAAAATTCTGCAAGTATTAGGAAATGATACTTGATTTTACAGAGAAAACTGGGACTCAAGTTTTTTTCCCCCAAGAAAGCCAGCCACAGGATCAGAATCATGTTTTCATATTGACTAAATAACAAATAGTTCGTAAGTACAGCCTACTAATATTAATAATATTAAAGTGTGAACTGTTTTGGAATAAGCAATCTGAATAGCCTAGTCAAATTTATTTATACCTGAAACATACTATATAAAACATTAAATAAGAGTGTCCGTTGATTGCATTTTTAATAATTCATACTGTGGCTGCTTTTCTTGATTCCATTTTCAAAGCACTGAACAGAGCACACATACCAATGGCATTGTTTAGTATATATTCTTCTCTGAAGAAATTCTGAGTTATCTTCTGGTTTCCCTTTACGATATCTGAGATTGTTAGCAAAAGAAAAAAAAAAGAAAGAAGGATTACAAATTTTTTAAAAAGTGTTTTTCAGTCAATTACAGTCAAATAAATAAATTTAAAATATAATACTCAGTACCCAGAGAAACTCTAGAATGATCTGTTAATGTCTTGAACTTGCCCATGCCACATATTATAATTAGCCCCAGATTCACAATCCAATGTCAAAACTTCAAGTTAAGGGGAAAAGGGGGGAGGGATTTGGAGGAACAAATAGGAAGGACACAGGGACGAGAACTAAGGGGGGTGGAAATGGGAGGGAGGTGGGGAGCAAGGGGCGGGGGAAGCTGGGATGGGAGAAATAGACAAAAAAACTGTACTTGAAAAATAACTAAATAAAATTAATTAAAAAAATTCTTAAGAACTTCTCACAAGTTGTTACACTTAAATTAGAAGTTATATATTGCTACAAAAAGCATTTTCTTTTAACTGTTTTCTGTAGCACCTGAATAAACATTTGCTGGATATACATTTTCTTTGGTAATATATCTTAATACAAAGTATACATAGAGAAATATATGTATTCCATGTAAATACTTGTCACATTCATTTCACCATACACATTTACTGAGCACCTACTAAGTATCATGCTCTGTTTTAGATGCTGTAGATAACAAGATAGCAGTATGAAATGGCTGTCTTGAAGTTCAGACTAATGAGAAAGAAGATTACTAAAATAGTCTTAGTGCTATCCTCACTATAAGGCTGGGTGCTGTGAAAATGGACACGGAAGTCTTTTTTTTCATCAATTTTTTAAAATTTTAATTGATGTTCAAGGGAGAAGTTAATTTTAAAAAGTCTTCCCAAGCAACTCGCAGCCCCAGCCTTGTGATTAGTGATGATGCACCAGGTTATGACCTAAATTTATTCTGTATACCTAATCAATACACTACGGATTTGGAAACAGTGTTCATTCCTCATGGACTGATTACAGACAGGACCAAACGGCTTGCCCAATACATGATGAAGGGGATGGGAGGCCATCACATTGTAGCTCTCTGCATGCTCAAGGCAGGACTGTAAATTCTTTGCTAATCTACTGGATTACATCAAAGCACTAAACAAAAATAGTGACAGATCCAATCCTATGACTGTAGATTTTATCAGACTGGAGAGCTACTTTTAATGACCAATCACCAGGAGACATAAAAGTAATTGGTGGAGATGATCTCTCAACTTTAACTAGAAAGAATATCTTGACTGTTCAAGATATAATTGACACTGGCAAAACAATGCAAACTCTGCTTTCCTTGGTCAAGCAGCATTATCCGAAGATGCTCAAGATTGCAAGCTTGTTGGTAAAAAGGACTCCACGAAGTGTTGGATACAGACCAAGCTTTGTTAGATTTGAAATTCTAGACAAGTTTATTGTAGAATATGCCCTTGACTATAATGAATACTTCATGGATCTGAATATTTATGTTATTAGTGAAAATGAAAAAGCAAAATACAAAACCTAAGATGAGAGTTCAAGTTGAGTTTGGAAACATCTGGAATCCTACTGAAATCACCAGTTATCAAATGTTCTAGTTCTGTGGCCAGTTGCTTAATAGAGCTTATTGTATGTATCTTCTCAGAATTTTGTTTGTTTGTATTTTAGGAAAGTACAGAGTGATTGAATATTATTAATTATACCACAGTATGTTTAAGAAAAGTAAAAAACAGCCAGGTTTTGTATCAATGACAGCATCTAAGAGATACTATTATGTCCTGGAATCAATTTAGTTGTGTTTCAGTATTAACTGCACTTTTTCACTTGTTCAGATTATTTTCGGTGACTCTTTGTCAACAGTTTCTTTTAAATACAAATCAATTACTTCCAAAAAAAACTTTAAAAAAAGAAGTCTTCCCAGAAGACATATCTGAGCCAAATTTGAACAATAGATGGATATTTCCTAGAAAATGATGGAGGCGAAGATTTGAGCAGAGAAAGGAGTACCTACGTAGGCACACAAGCACGAAGGAGCAAAATCAAGGAGAACGGTAAAAGGCGGGGCTAGAGGTATAATAACATAAAGGAAATATATCTTCTCAAAAATGTTGCTACAGCATACTACTTACTTACTGCCTGGCTTAACTGAAAGGTGCTCAGTAAATATCTTGCCACGTCCACTGCCACGTCCACTGTTGGATCCCTCTCTCCGTGACAAGGTCCTGAGAGGGGGTGTAAGACTTCAAGGAAGCAGTTTCCAACCTAGTGGACGTGGCATGGAAGGCCTTGCAATACCTATTGTGATTGTGCTTGCTTTGGAGATCATGACCTTTTTTGCTTTAATCATTATAAATACCCTGGCAGTGATTCAGATAGTGTGCCTGGACCTTTCCCGGCTCAATGAACAGAATAATAATATCATACTAGAACGTCAGGGAATATAGGCACAAGGAAACAATCAGAACAATCTGAGAATTCAAGCTTAATCAATAACAATCATTAGAAAAACACCCAAGATAAGATAGAACACTCTAGGAAATCAAGAGATAATCTCACTGCTTTCTTAGAGAGAATCAAAGTACAAAACATGTCTATAAAAGAACTCCTAGAGAAACTTAAAAGAAGTACCCTTAAAAGCCCCCTGCAACATAGGAACAGCCCCTCCTTTACCTTGAATAGGAATATATATCAACTAGACAGGCAAAGTAATAACAAAAGCTAGTTAATTATTACAAACTAAACAGTCACTAGGGAGTCAGAATTTATGGTACACAGAAAAAACATTTTAAGCAAAAAAAAGGTAGATAGCTAAGTTAGACATCACAAGGGCTTTATAATAAATCTCCTATTTTCTCTACTCAGTCTAGCGTATCCTTATGCCCTATACCAAATTCTGAGAAACTTTAATATACAATAAGATATTTTTAACTGTCTGATTAATGGCTCTCCCAGTTAAAATAATTTTTAACTAAATCTATGGGAACTTTTGTACTTTTACTGATTACCTTTGTATTGATTTTTTTCTGCTTAAATGATCATGTTATACTGCAAATATTAATCACAACCTGGAATGAAAATTATAAAAACCTGCTTGTACTTGCAATAAACGGAACAGAGCTTCACTGTCCTTTGAGGCGTGTTGTCGTCTGTTACCCAGCGCCGACGCCTTGCCCTCACCTGTGGGACCCCCTGACCCGCTGCGGCTGGACCGCGGCAATATCTGAATTAGAAATACTATCATATGGTTTCATTTCTGTTGCAATTGCCTATTACTGAGTGTTCACATCTACTATATTCTTACTGCAGTCAATGTCAATGCTACTGTCAGGCCATTCTCTTCCATATACATACTACAAGCTCGTAGGCCTTTTACTATCTTTTAACAGTAAGAGAATTATCTATTAAAATACAAATTAAATATATAATATATGCATGTTTCTTCTTTTATGAGAGTTATGCAAAAATTGTTGACTATTTATAGAGTTTTAGACTAACTCTAGCACTCTGACATTATCTTCCTTTAAAATGTTCTACATGTTGACTGACTTTTTTTTGATTTTTAACATCTTTTGTCATTCTGAAGCTCTCCCTGATATATGCCCCTCCCTAAAAAAACCCTCAGTTGTCTTTTATGCAGTCCTCATCACTACTTCCCAATTCAAAAAAGGAGTATAAATTGTATTGTATGATGAAACTCTTTTACCTAAAAAATCTTCTTAAATTTCCTTTATGAATGTCTTATTCATATCAATCTTCTTACCTAAAAAATCTTCTTAAATTTCCTTTATGAATGTCTTATTCATATCATAGAATGTCTTATTCTAATCAATTGTTTCCATATAAAGTAAAATTAAATGATGTTCATAATATCATTTAAAAATTTTTTGACTGTCCACTTATCATCTTGAACTATGATCTTTAAAGAAACTAAATATCCTGGAATTGAAGTCCACTCCTTTATTTCATGTAAATTAGGATAATCCTAGAATTTGTGACTGTATTTCCAAAGATCAATATGAAGTTAGGACTTTCTACAAAAATAGCTCACAGTCAGAAGCAGCTAAAATCAATATCTAAGGCTCTGCCCATCCTTAAATTGACGAGATCATAAGCTCAGCTCCAAAGGAAAGGTTAATTCCAGACTGAAAAACAATGTTTTAAAAATATTCATTTTGTGGGCAAATAAATTTCAAAAGCAATTTAGTTGAATCAATCTATGCTATCAAAAAATTTTAAACTATAGTTTTAAAACTTAATTTTTTCTTTCAATTTAATAAGACATTTGAAGTTCTGTCCTGAATCAATCTAGTTTCTGGCTATTCCAAATGTAATGCTTTACAAAAACTGGTAAATTTAGTAACTAGATCAACCCAAACATGAATGTCTTAATACAATACAAAATACAAATATACAAAGTAAAAACACAAGGAAGAACCATGCTTGGACCCTACCAACTCCATAAGAAACAAAATATAAAATGTAAAAGAAGTTTTTAGTATATATAAAATATTGACAACCAGTTGTGATAACAAGTACATGACGTTGGTCCTGAGAACAAATAGTTCACCTCTTTTGCCTTTAACAGTTAAAAGTGTAAGATAGATTGACCTAAACAATGAGAAAGATTTACTTATATCATATTTATTTAAACATACATAATATATTTAAAATGTATAGGAAAACACTATAATTAAGTACATTCTGGCTTTAGAATCATGAACAGTGGGAAAGTACAGGCAAAGCCATGGAAATATGTGAGAGCATGTCATGCCTGGAGAGTGGCAGGTCACTCAACAACCTGGCCAGACTGTCAGAGTATGTGACATACTGAACTGCTTACTCTAAAACAGAAAGTGGGCTCACACACCATAACTGGACATTTCGTGTGGGATGACTCAGGGAAAGAGTCGAGATATCTGAAGGGCATGTGTATAGTATTGTTTTATTTTTTAAATCATTTTTTATTTTCCAATTACAACTGACATACAATATTATATTAGTTTCAGTGGTGCACCTCAGTAATTAGACGCTGTGTAACTTACTAAGTGATCATCCCGATAAACCCTCCATTCATCTGACATCTCACAAAATTATTAGATATTACTGACTATAGTTCCCATGCTGTCCTTTACAGCCCCGTGACTATTCCGTTACTACCAACTTGTGTGTCGTAATCCCCTCACCTCTTCACCCATTCCCCCAACCCCTCTCCCATCTGGCAACCATCAAAATGTTCTCTGTATCTATGAGTCTGATTTGTGCAGTTTTTTTAAATTCACTCTTTCCTATTTTTCTAATATAAACTACAAAAGATAAGTCTTTAAATACTTCCTTTTTCTAAGTTAACTATACAAGAATATAACAAAACAAAAAAATTCTAAAAGGTAACACAAACTATGAAGTACTACAAAAATACATTAATACTTTATCTGTTCTAATGAGGGGGAAAAACATTTGGGCAAGAAGAAAACAGTTTTTACCTATGATATCACCCCCAGCACAAAAAGCCTTTGTACCAGCTCCCTTTATAATGATCAGGAAAGTCTCAGGATCTTGTTCCCACTTCTGAAAGGAAGATGGCATAAGCATATTATAACTACACAACCCATTAAACAAACATCCATTTGCACAGCTACACATATATACATCTCTATGTGAACAGACAGATATGGTACATGGCTAGGCTACTTTTGCCCCACCCTGAGTATATACCCATACACATAAAGCATAAGCTTTATAACACATACCCAGAAGAATGAATCCCAACTTCATTTTCTTTCCTGACATAAATTAGAGGCTATTTCAATAAAGTTACTGGATGACTATATTCTGTGATCCAAATTTAATGATGGTATCTAAAATCTTGGCCATGACAACTTTTAGACCAAGGTAAAAGAAAAAAAAAATGGTGAGCACAGGCCTGTGAAGCAAAGGGTTGCTGGTTAGATTCCCAGTCAGGGCACATGCCTGGGTTGCAGGCCAGGTCCCCATTACGGGACACGTGAGAGGCAACCACCCATTGATGTTTCTCTCCCACTCTTTCTCCTTCCCTTCTCCTCTCTCTAAAAAATAAATAAATAAAATAAAATTTTTTTAAAAAGAAAAAAATATGGGCTTAATAATAGTACATATTACATAAGCTTAGAAACCTGGCAAACAAATCAAACCAAAGATTGTTGATAAACAGAGCAATAATCTTTTTCCACTGCGGTAACATACGGCTCTTTCCTATTAAAAAATTTAAAGTAACAGTAACACAGATCAAATCTTGAAGTAATGTGAGATTAGTAAGGACAGCTAATAATTAAGTAGGATGAAAGAATCAAGAGCCAATGTCAATTCTAAAGACTAGAACAATGGACCAATAAAAAATTAGTTAACTAGAGACAGAAATACTAACAAGGGCTCTATAAATTGAGAATAAAAATGTAAATGCACAAGGAAGAAATGTAGCTGGACAGCTGTAGTTGTCCAAAAGGTAATACGTGCCCTAGCCGAGTAGCTCAGTTGGTAAGAGCGCCGTTGTAATGTGCCGAGGTTGTGGATTCGATGTCAGAGCATATACTAGAAGCAACTAATGAATGCATAAATACGTGGAACAACAAATCAGTGTGCCTGTCTCTGTCCCTCCCACTCTCAAATCAATAAATTTTTTTTAAAGTACAAAAGGTTAATGCAATACTGGACTATACTAGTAGAAATATGGCCTTCTAACATGGAAGTTTCTTCTTTCTTCCACTCTGATCCAACTCTAATCTGGAACACCTGGTTTATTTCGCTGTATCACTTTAAAAGACATATGAGGGCCCTGGCTGGTGTAGCTCAGTGGATTGAGCTCGGGCCTGCGAACCAAAAGATCACGGTTCAATTCCCAATCAGGGCACATGCCTGGGTTGCAGGCCAGTTCCCAGCAGGGACCAGTTCCCAGCAGGCGATGCATGAGAAGCAACCATACACTGATATTTCTCTCCCTCTCTCCTTCCCTTCCCTTCTAAAGATAAATAAAATTTTAAAAATAAATAAATAAAAGACATATGAGGTATTCCAAACAGACATAGCAAAATGGGAGAGAGACTCATCAAATAAACTAAGAAACAGGTGACTAGGACAGAACTAGATTTTGTGTAACATCTATGTGGCTGACTGTATTAGGTACACTATTTTACTCCATCTTCACCATCCTATGATTTATTACCACCTCTACTGCACAGCTGAGGAAAGACAGACAGACACACAGTGACTGGCACTCCCAATCTACACGGTTAATAAACAGAAACCCAAGTTTCATACACAAGTAGTCCACTGCACTTGCAGTTCACATAGAAAAGCTTATGGCCTTCTCTAATAAAGGCTGCCCAAGCATTTAAAAAACAGTTGTCTTTAAGTCAAAAGCTGTCATGTGGAAGCACATTAGATTTGTACATTCATACCCCCAGAGACAGAACCAGCATCACCAGTTAAAAGGTCAGAGAAATAAGGAGTGGCAGAACACCAGAGGAAACTTAGAGCCATGTAGAAGTGGAAGAGGCTGTCTCAGGAGGCAATGAACTCTCCTTCACTAGGGGGGCTTCGGGTTAACCACACAGGGAAAGGTCTGAAGACTCAAGAATGGATGGGGCTTGGGAGCTGATCCCAGACAGTCCAGTGGTTCTACAGGAGACAATGCCAGAAATGTACTATTAAGATAAACATTTAAAATAATCCATGTAATTGCTTTAGGAAAAGTACACACCTTTAACTGGGGATAAATTTGCCGGATCATACTAAGATTCAGTGCATTTAGTTTCTTTGGTCTGTTCAGTGTTATCACTCCTGCGCAACCTCTTCTTTCCAATAGTACTTCTTGCTCTGCATCTGTGTGGCTGGACATTCTCTGTGTAAACATATGATGTTAAAATTCATTAAGTTTTTTCACAAGCCAACATCAAAACATACACATAAAATATACACTTTTCACACAATGTCAATAGTAGCTAATCAAATGGATAGCTAAGTACATTTGACAAAGATTTCTAAAGTAATTTAGATTCCAAAACAAACTCTACATACCTCTTAAATCTTTTTGTTTTTATTTCCAAGTGAACTAAGTCAACCTGAACTATAAAACCTTAAATCTTCTGATTTATTACTACATACCAAGCAATATTTTAGGTACTTAGAAAGTACAAATGAACAGAGAGCAAGTAATTAAGACTACAGTAGTTACCGACAATCTGGGGGGAAAAAAGATGATACTTGAACTCAGCCTTCATGTATATCAAGAAAAAGGAGGGTGAGAATTGTAGGGAATAGTACATGCAAAAATACAGCAATGAATATTTGAAAATATTAAGATGTTAAACCTAAGCAGAATGAAGGATGGTTGAAGAAATGAGTGATGGGTACGTAGGAAGGAGAAGTAGTATAAAGCCAGATTATAAAATGACAGACTTACATGTCATTTAGTTATGAAGAACTTGCCTAGTACACTTACATAAGGGCCGCACATACCGTAACTTAATCACCAGGTCTCACTGCTCATGTAGTACAGTACTAATATAATACCTGGAAGTCACATGTTTTAAACTACACAGCCATTTCCCAGGTCTCTGCTATATGCAGCTATCAGGGCTAATGGCACAACCTACTTAACACATTCCTTTAAGGACAATATTTTAAACTTCACATGGGAACAACATACAATATAAAATTGAAAGTCAGCTTCAACTGGAAATTTTTAACTGGAGAATGCATTCTTATGAACAGATATCTAATAAAACCTTAAAATCCATATTTTGACAGTATTAAGCAGTATCTTTATACAATGTTTAAGTCCTCCTTTGTATAATCATGTCGTATATTTAATGTTGGAGTTAATTTTATTAACATTAATTACCAGAAACAGTAGTAATTTATATTCACTTAAAGGGGTTACAAAAACGGTTATTAAACAATAAAAATAATTGCATCTTTTCAAATTAAAACAAAACTATATTTTAAGATACATATATTTTTTAAGATCTTATTTATTTTTTTTTAGAGAGGGGAAGGGAGAAAGAGAGAGAGAAATATAAATATGTGGTTGCCTCTTGCGCCCCCTTCTGGGGACCTGGCCTATAACTCAGGCATGTGTCCTAGACTGGGAATTGAACCAGCAACCCCTTGATTCGCAGGGTGGCACTCAAGCACTGAACCACACCAGCCAGGACTTAAGACATATTTTAAAACAAATTCACAAGTATCAAGAAGTTTGATATCCTCTGATATCTGGAGTATGAGGAAATACATACTGCGGGAGCATAAACTACTACTACTACAACCTAGGAAAAACAGCCTGACAACACATATTTAAAAATATTTATTTATGTTTGTTTGTTTATTTTTAGAAAGAAGAGATGGGAAGGGAGATCAGTATGAGACAGAAACATCAATTGATTGCCTCTCGCACGCCCCCACAGGTCCGGGCATGTGTCCTGCCTGGAATCGAACTGGCAACCGTTCCCTACTTGCCCATCACTCATTCCCTGTGACACCCAACCACTGAGCTACACCGGTCAGGGCTGACGACACATTTTTTTAAAGCATTATTTGAACCAAGTCAGATTCAGCCAAAACAAAAAAGTTTTGTAACTGTTTTAATTGAACAATTTAACATAAATTATCACCCGGTGCCAGAAGCAATCTTTTAAAACTCTATTATTTGGTTTCAGCTCAAAAATATTGAGAGCAAAAAAGATTCTCCTTCTGATTTTATAGCAAGGAGGCAGGGAGCTGAACCAGACTACAGATTATCGACTTTTGGTGACCAGAAAACTGTCACAGGGGCTCGCTAACAGGCCTCATAAAATCTGGAGAGGTGCCTTCAGAGAGACAAAGGACCAGAATATTTGAACATCTCAGGCAGAAGCCTTTAGTAAAGTTAAGTCGAATTTTTGATTCCTTGCTGGAGGCCAAGTGTAGGCAAATGTTATAGTATGAAGCTCTGGGAGTCAGAGGCATGAAGAGTTCTCGATCCGGCTGTCTTTTCCTCTGGAATCCAATCAGGCTCCCCAGGGAAGACTGGAGAAAGCTCCCCTGCATGGTGCTGGGTAGGGGAGGGAAAACACATACAGCTAAATCCTCCCCCTCACTTTCCATCCAGAACAAATGACTAAATCTGCAGGGAAGTGAGGAGGGCAACGGAGGCCTACGGGCTGACAGAGAAGGCCCAGGTGGATGCCTGCATATGCAGCGGGCTGTATTACGGGACAGTAATACTGAATCTGAGGAACCCGCCTGTTCACAGCAAGCTGTAAGCAAGCCCTAAGCTCTGTCCCAGAGGGAGACTGACAAATGAATCTTAAGTGAACTGCACATGTATGACATAACCTCACTGAAGTGACTGCAGTGGTAGTGGCAGTATAGCCGACCTAATAGTGATTTGATGGGCAACTGTAAGGATAAATACAAAATGAACTATACATCAGCATCGTGCTCTAGTTGGTAAATTCGTTTCTCATGGGGGGTGGTTAACAATTCTGAGGCTGCTTTGCATGCACACTGACTGGAATTCAACAATCAACAGTGAGAACCACTGTCGGGAGGACAGGTACAGATATGCAGTAGGGAAGGCTAAAATGAACCCTCTTTGTGGTACTAAATTAAAGTCAGAGACATCGGTATGAACTCATGCTTACACACACACACACACAGAATAGAGAAACAATTATAGACATGTATGTACACACGGATTAGGATACAGTGTGTATGTGTGCCACTATACATACATTACCCTAGCTCTATCCCCCAAGAGAAAGCTATGACACCCCAGTAGCAAAAAAAACTCCCGGAGCTTAGCTCTTGATTTCTAAACAGCAGTCTCATATAAAGAAAACCAGGGCTCCTTAGAGAAACAGCTGATTCCACGGCTGGGACATGGGAAACCCAGGAGGAGCACAAGCACATCTGTAGTACCACGTCTCCGAATTTCCCCCTTTTATAAGAACAACAGTCATACTGAATTGTCCCAGCAATCTTTACTCCAGTACGACCTCATCTTAACTAATTAAATCTGCAACGACCCCATCTGCAACTTGGTGGAAGAAGCCATCTGTCACATGCCCTGAGGTTTCCCCACAGTTCACTGCTGGGCATGCCATGAACCCAAGGGCCTGACCAGTCTTTGCTTGGGTCACTTTTCAGGGTTGTATTTGCTCCAGTAACTGAGGAAAAGGTAAGACCTGACTCTGAGAGTAGGGACAGAGAGCAGGCTTGCTTACAGCTTGCTGGGAACAGGCAGGTTCCTCAAATTCAGCACTGCTGTCCCGTAATACAGCCCACTGCATATGCAGGCATCCATCTGGGCCTTCTCTGTCAGCCCCGTGAAACTTGGGGAGCATGGAGGCGATAAAAACGTGATGTTCAATGCTGCTCACTGTGCACTAATAGCAAAGTCCTTTGTCTCAAACTCAAGAGTTTCATGTCCACTGCCAGCATGCATGAAACAGTAACAGGCTAACTGTTCGCTTGTAACTGGGGTAAAATCGAACCCCAGACCCAAAGTTGTCCAGTTAGCCCAAAAGCCCTCCACCTGCCCATTCCAATCACAGCCCTCTCCCTCCCTACAAAAGCAATAACTGTCCTGATTTTTACAATAAATTCAAAATGTGCATCCATAAACATAATCTGTCCATTTTTTAAAATTGGATATATCTTTCAAGTCCTTTAATCTATAGGTGCTCCCTCCATCCCTTTGTTTTCCTCACAACTTGTTGAAAAAAAAACAGGCCATATAATCTGTAAAATTTCCCAGTATGGATTTTGCCACATATGATACATATTTATTCTTAACAGCTATGTATTCTTACATATCAATTTATCAGTTCCCTACTCATAATTTCCACTTTTTGCTATTACAATGATGCACAAATATCTTTAAGCACAGATCTTCAAGCACTTAGGCCAAGCATTTTTGCAGGACATTTACAGGGGGTCAGATTTTGAATAAAGGATATAAGATCTTCTACTGTTAATGCCACTAGAATGATAAGAATGAATGAATGAATGAACAGATTTGTTCCTACTTCTAAAACTCATGTCCTTCTACAAACCTTCAAACTACTGATTCATTAATCAAAATCATACATGCAAAGGCCAGAAGGGAAAAAATGGAAATCGCCACTATATGTCATTCATGTGCGCTACTTAATTCTACAAAAAGTTAAAGCTCTTTTCAGAAAACATCACAAATTTTTAACTAAGAGCTAGAAAAGTTTCCTATGAAGAAAATTTATCATATTAGGAAAGATTACAGGGACTAGAGTCAGAAATTAACTTCTCGTACAATCCAAAGTGTGTGGGGGGTGGAGGGACAGAAAGGGTAAAGAGAACAGAGAAAGGAAAGAAGAAATGTTTCTAGCCCAGAGCCAGAAAGATTTAATGTGAAAAAGTAAGGCTTTCTTAAATCTTTATTATGCATCCTGAAAAGGATCAGTTTATTTATATTTTGAATACTTTCTTAAGCAATTAGAAAAAACTTTTTAAAAATATATTTTATTAATTATGCTATTACAGTTGTCCCATTTTTGCCCCCTTTATTCTCCTCTGCCCTGCACCCACATTCCCCCACCTTAGTTCATGTCATACATATAAGTTCTTTGGCTTCTCCAACTCCCATACTAGTCTTAACCTCCCCCTGTCTATTTTGTACCCACCATTTATGCTTCTTATTTCCTGTACCTTTTCCCCCATTCTCCACCCTCCCACACCCCACTGATAACCCTTCATGTGATCTCTATTTCTCTGGTTCTGTTCCTGTTCTAGTTGTTTTCGTTTTTTCAAGTTCAGTTGTTGATAGTTGTGAGTTTGTAGTCATTTTACTGTTCATATTTTTTAACTTCTTTTTCTTAGATAAGTCCCTTTAACACTTCATATAATAAGGACTGGATGATGATGAACTCCTTTAGCTTTACCTCATCTGGGAAGCACTTTATCTGCCCTTCCTTTCTAACTGATAGTTTTGCTGGATAGAGTAATCTTGGATGTAGGTCCTTGCCTTTCATGACTTCAAATACTTTTTCCAGCCCTTTCTTGCCGGCAAGGTTTCTTTTGAGAAATCAGCTGATAGTCTCATGGGAACTCCTTTGTAGGTAACTGTCTCCTTTCCTGTTCACCAGGGTGGGGCAACCCATGTTGGCTGCATTGTGGTGCTGTATGTGGGGGAGGGGTCCGAGAGGGAACAGTGCCACTTGCCCGACTCTCAGATGGCTTTCACAGTCACTTCCTCTGCTACCCACAAGCAAACTGGATCCATCTGGTGCTGATCCCCAGGTGGGTGGGTTTGTGTATGTTCTAGAACCCTGTGGGTCTCTCCAAAGAACTCTCCTGTGAAGCTGGGAATTTCTCCCACCACTGAAACCCCCACACGTGTTTTCAGTCAGAGGTTTTGAGGCTTTATTTCCCCATGCTGGAACCCTGGGTTGTGCAGTTATCTTGCTCCCCAGTTTTTCCTCCCGATTTATCTGCATGCAAATGTGGGACCACCCAGTCCACCAGCCACAGCCTCACCTAGTCTGCCATCCGCCACCTGGCTGGTGTAGGACTTCCAGCCACTGCTGTCCCGTGAGTCCTCTCCTCCCTGTCTGCCTGACTCTGCCCCTCCTACTGGTCTGGATGAATGTTTCTTTAACTCCTTGGTTGTCAGATTTCCATATGGTTCGATTTTCTGGGAGTTTGGGGGTTTTTTGTTTTTAAATTTGTTGTTGTCCTTCTTTTGGTTGTGCAAGGAGGCACAGTGTACCTACCTAAGCCTCCACCTTGGCCGAAAGTCCCCCCAAAAACTGTTCTTTATTTTAACTTACTAGTTAAGGTTTTCCATGGGCACTATGCTAAACAGTTGAAAAACTTTGCACTTAATCCTCAAAACAACCCCATGAGTCAAGTACTAGGAGTTCCTCTCCAAGATATAGAAACTCAGGCCTGGAGAAGTTAAGTGACTTGCCCGGAGTCACACAGCTTTGGGGCAGGACCAGGACTCATTTCAAAGCCCACGCTCTAATCATTATGCCTCCTACACTGACTCTCCCAATCATCTTCTTCAAACTATATACCGTATTTTGCCGTGTATAATGTGCAGTTTTTTTTTGCCAAATTTTTTCAGGGAAAAATAAAGATGCACATTCTACAGGAGTACAATGACTACATACCATGGGTAGTATAATCCCGTGTGTAATGCACATAAAAACGTGGGTGTGCATTATACATGGCAAATACAGTAATTCCACCCATTTTAACCCACTACAAAAGTCTTCTGCAGTCCTGCAATGACTGGGTGACCCATCATTTCCATCCATTCAAAGGAGAAATGGGAAAGACACTTGCTAACATGTCTGGACACCAAGTACACACGGCTCTGTGCTAAACTGAATGCGTGAAGTCTGCCCAAACAAAACCCATGAGACCGTATGACTTGGAATATTCACTCTGCTGGAACATGGAACTGCTCTGGCAAAATCCACGGCAGCATTTCCCAAAGTGTGCGAAAGGGATGCTCGTTTCTGCTATGTGGAAGGAGAAAATGGCCTCTGGTCAAATCCGTTTGGGAAAAAACTTAAAACAATATAAACAAGTTTCACTTCTGTAAGACTTTCCATTTTTGATATGCAAATATACGATGTAAAATTTTAAAATATAATAAGCAGAAAATTTCCTACTCGATTAAAGAGGTTGTATGTGTGTGTATTTTCATGCACTATCTCTTGGGACTTATTTTGCAGACTACATTTTTGGAAAACACTTTACAGCCTTCACAAACAATCTGAGACATGAATGACCCTTTCCTTTGAGGAAAGTGCCTAACACATAGCAGGTATCTCAAAAATGTTTAGTTAGTTTAATAAATAACCCATCATTGTACCGATGCAGTTTTGCTGTAACAATGGCCCAGGACAAGCTTCACACTGTGGACACCCAAGTCCCAATCTTCACTAAGCATACACCTTCCACTGTAACTGACATCCACTGCCACTGAACAGGGTTGCGACTCAAAGACATGCCCAGGGAGGTATTCTACCATTAGCAGAACATGATCCTTTTGATATACTTTGCTGACATTCCTCTTTATCCAGTCTCATGTCCTTCCCATTCCTAAGATTTTTATCAATTTCCAGCCAACACTGACGAATGCCATTTAAATTATTATAACACAAATATGACTCAAAGCACAATTCTTAGCATCAAAAGCATTTAATAATGCTAATTACTCAAGCATCAGTTGAATAATTTCAATATGGATCAGTAAATTCCTCTACGTATCAGTACTTTAGGGTCCTGCAAATCGTCCTTAGCTGTGCTCTATTCCCTCACCTTGTGTGAGGGTATCTATTTTCCACCTACAGTTATTACCTGCAAGTAGCCGAATCAAACCTGCACCTGTATCTTTACTGCTCCAGAGGCCCAGGCCCCTATTTCCAAACGAATGCCTACTACACAGGATTTTCTTATCACAGGAGTTAACTACAATACATGGCACCCAAAACTCAACTTGTTAAAAACCAAATTTACCAAAAATCTCTAACAAATCTGCCTCTCCTATCCTCCCCAGTTCTCGTAACTGTCTACAGTACTGCCACCAGTGGCCTATTTCCATCACTTTCTCGTTATTGTCTGTATTATTAGAAGGGTCCCAGAGGGACTACTTGGGATACAGCCTCTGTGCTTTTGAAGCACGGGTAAAAGCCAATAATGGGACTGCCAACCATTCAGCCTTCAATCTTCATAAACTCATTGCACTTAGACTTAACTGAGAATCACTGTGCCAGAAGCTGCAGCGTGAAGAAGGTTCAGTCTATGGAGCCAGAACACGTGGATTCAAATTTCACCTCCTATTTTTCAGCTGTATGACATTAGGGCATATTACTTAGCTTCTCTGTCCCTCCTCCAGGTCTAATCCACTAAATAGGAATAAGACCATAATCTTTTAATCAAAAGCCCTTAATTCCAGATGTGTTTCAGAATTCAGAAATTTTTCTAGATTTTGGAAAGGTAACAAAGTACATATTATATACTATATGAGACATCCCAAGATGAGTCTAAATGTACACTCTAATCAAACACTTCTGCACCAAACCATATATATTTGCACTAGTTAGGATAACAATAAAAATAGCTTCAAGTCATATTTTGTCACCAAATGCAATCACCACAAACTTTTGGTTCTGAGGTTTCAGAACTGCAGATAGAACCCACTGAGCTAATACGTACCAAGTACTTAGAATAGCACCTGGCATACAGTAAGTACTACATCAGAGTAACTTGTCGTTTTTATACGCAAGGTACTTTTCAGGCTCTATAAAGGTGCCTTAGTCTGTTCAGGCTGCTATATCAAAAATACCATAGACTGGGTGGCATACACAACAAAACATTTACGTCTCACAGTCCTAAAGGATGGGAAGTCCAAGATAAAGGCATCTGCATATTCGGTGTCTGCTGATGTCTCATTTCCTGGTTCATGGATGGCCACCTTCTCACTGTGTCCTCCTTCACAAGGCCGTAGAGATGAGGAAGCTCTCTAGAGTCTCTTTGTAAGGACACTGATACCATTCGTGAGAGCTCCACCCTCCTGACCTGTCCTCCATGAATTTGGGGGTGACACAAACATTCAGTCTATAGCAGAGATATAAATATGAATAAAAACTATTTTCCTTGCAATGTGATAAAGACATCTAAGCTCTAGAAGGGGGAACTATTAGTACAATGGTAGTTAACATGTATAAAATTATTATATGCTAAGAACTAGGCTAGATTTTTAAATGAAGTACCTTTATTATTCATAAACACTCTAAGGTGGATATCATTATCCCCATTTTGTATGTCAAAAAGGAGGGTGAGAAAGAACAAGTAATCTGCCCAAGGTTAAGTAGTGGACCCATTAAACCAGGCATTCCAATTCAAACTTGACTAACCATGCTCTTATCCACAACCTTATGGCACCCCCCACAAGTTATATTTGTCAAGTCTTGACACTATAATATTGGGAGCCATGATGTGCCAAGGTCAATGACACCTGCCAGTATTTCTCTGCTTCCCAAACAATCACATTTTAAGTTTATACATAATAATCTAATAATGCCAGCAACACAAAATACAAACTTACCAAATGATGCAGTGTGATATTAATCCTTTTGAAGGAATTAAACCTGAAACAAATGTAAGCAAACATTTCATCACCACTAAAATAATGACTCATTCATCAGAAAGAAACAATTCAGTGAAGAATGTGAGAAAGAGGGAAGGAACTTCAAGGGGTTAGTCTTAGCTTCTTGACATTTAAGAAGATACTGTCAAGCCTTAAATAAAAAATTACTTTTCTAACCTAGGTCACATATAATCCCCAAATACACACTCGACAAAGAACAGACAACAGGCCTCACAGCAGGAACTGCTGATTGGCAAATCAGTTTTGCTTGCTTTTTATAACTTAGGTTCGGAACTTGTGAGGGGCTAGAAATGCCAGAAGGAACAAAGAGTAAATGACCATGTCCTTTTGAACTTTGCCAAAGCCATAGGACAAGACACTAACCTACAGCTATCTCGTTGGTCCCTGTCAAGGCTTTGAGTGTGATTTCAGGGAACCCACTTAGCCAACACCAACCACAGGATGAACAGAAAGCAGACCCCCTATGGCAAGCCCCAGGTTATCTTCCCAAACAAAAGAAATTGGATCATACAACTAGAAGACAGGAAGCAAGGCATCACTCACTATTTTTAACAATAGGTGTTTTTAATTTATTTTTTTATTGATTATGCTATTACAGTTGTTCTATTCCCCCCTTCATTCCCCTCCACCCTACCACCCCATCCCCACCATTACCCCCCCTTTAGTTTATGACCATGTGTCTCAAGTCCTTTAGATTCTATATTTCCCATGCTATTCTTGCCCCCCCATCTATTTTCTATCTACTGTCTATGCTACTTATTTTCTGTAACTTCTCCCCCCCTTCTCCTCCTCCCACTCCCCTGTTGCTAACCCTCCTTGAGATCTTCATTTCTATGTTTCCACTCCTGATCTACCTGTCCTTTTAGTTTGCTTTTGTTTTAGGTGTGGTTGTTAATAACTGTGAGTTTGTTGTCCTACAATAGGTGTTAAAAATAGAAAATAGACCTTGCTCCAGTGACTCCAGAGGACAATGTCAATCTCAACTTCCAGATCCCCGAAGGGTATCAACACCCTCTCTTAAGTGGAACAAGTTGGGGAGTACGAGATACTGTGTGGCCTGTGACCCAGCAGCATATCTCTTAAGGCATGTTCTCCTTTGTACTATAAGCATGGACTCCAAGGTTTTGGAGACGCCCAAGTTGAGTGATAAAATCTGGGCTGTGTGTTTCCTCTTCATCTCCACCAGATGGCAGTTTTGGAGCCAATGGGAAGGAAAGAAAAGGCCATAAATTCAGAATTACTTAGGGACTCAATACTCAAATATGAGTATGATGAATAAGAACAAATAGAAGCAATACAACTATGTAAAATCTGACAAGGAACTTAGTTTTCTATTGATCTGACAGAGAGAGAAACATCAATTTGTTGTCCCACTTACTTATGTACTCACTGGTGGCTTCTTGTACCTGCCTGGCCAGTCTGAACCCACAACCTTCACATTTGGGAGCAACACACAACCCAGCTACCCGGCCAGGGCCAGTTGCAGTTTGGTTTGTTTTCTGTCTTGATCCAGAGATTTTTGTGACCTGTGAATGCCGTGCTCTGTGTGTTGTCATTGTATTTGGTAGGTTTTTATTAACTTTCAAGTGAAATAAAATTCTGTCTCACAAGTAAAACTGGGACTTGAAGCCAAACCTGGTTTTCTTGCTGTTTCTAAGTTGCATGAAATTGCCAACCTGACAGCACAGTCTTTAACCTTGAACTGGCATTTTGGCACTGGCCTCATTAAGGTATTCAAAGTTATTCTGGTTTAAAGAGAAAGGACACATGGACAAAACCAAAAAGGGGTAGGACCAAGGGTGGGAAGTGGGGATGGCTGGGATGGGGGACTGGTGAAGGGAAAATGGAGACAACTGTATTTGAACAATTAAAAAAATGAAAAAGAACTTTGCCTTTACATTTTTTGATACTTAAAACCTCCAAAAAATATAAAATTATGTTGAGAAAAGCTGTAGAAATGGTGCTGCAGGGTAGGGATAGTTCAGACTTTAAATGTCTACATGAAAACCTTGTTTAGAAAGCATCCCTAACTCTGTCTTCTCTGCACTGGGAGCAGCTCCTCTGCCACAGCCCACCCCTCGTCCCCTGAAAAGTACACCGGTGCCAGGTTTGACTCCACCCCCTCCTTGGTCGGGAGCACCTCAGTTACGGAGCCAGTCACTGTCTGCAGTGGTGCTAAAACAGCCACACTGACAGAGAGCCTCAGGGCTTGGCGGCCCTGCGTCCTGCAGCCTCACCTATTCCTGGCCACAGCTTCCAGATCAGTGCCATTTCAAGGGACATCAGCCAAGCTCAGCGAGGTCAGAGCTGCCACCGTAGGACGCAGTAGGCAGGCTCTGGAGCAGCAGTGGGAACTGTTTGGAAGCCTCATCGTTGGTTGCCAGGGCCCCTTCTCAAGCAACAGCTCTTTTCCTACACCATTCAGGACTTTGACCTCTTAGAGGTCATGGGCTCTTTGCCTGATGGTGGCCTTTCTCATCCTCTCTGCCATGTGAAGGAGGCATCTCCACCTCCCATGGTTCTGTCTCCCGTCCCGTATCTTGTATGTCCCTTTCCCTATAACTCCCCAGGCAGCCTGGAAAAAGTGGTAGGTTCAGGGTTTGACAGAGAAGACAAATAAATACTGTATTGATAAGAAAAAAGAAAGAAAACATCCCTAAGTAAGGTAGAATCTATCACTTCGGTTTAATTTTTATAAAGTGCTGATTTTAGTGACAACTAGTCTGTGCTTTGGAATCATTTGGGGGAGTGTCAAACAAAATACCTATGCCTGTGTCCCACCTCCAGAGCTTATGATTTAATTGGCCTTGGATGTCACCTGTGCCTTGGCATGTCCGCAAGGGTCTCCAGGTGATTCTAATAGGCATACAAATTGTGGAATCACTGGACAAGAATATTGCACTTGAGGCAAGCAAGACGTATTCAAAATATGCTAATCTGGGAATGAGGCATGACTGATTTAAAAAACGAGTGATTTCCCTGTCCCCCTTTTTTGTAGTATTGATTAATTAAAATATAATGTAAATAGAAAGTAATATAAATTCTGTAAAGTAAGTTGGATTACAAAGTTTGTTATTGAAGATTTTAGTTATGTATTTTTAGAAAGAGGAAAAGAAGGGAGGAAGGGAAGAGGAGGAAAAACATCGATGTGTGAGAGAAATATTGATCAGCTGCCTCCCCCACACCCCCAACCAGGGACCTGGCCTGCAACCCAGGCATGTGCCCTGAGAATCCAACTGGTGGTGACCTTTCAGTTTGTGGGATGATGCCCAACCCACTGACCACACCAGTCAGGGTAGATTACAATTAGTTTATAAATTCAGTCACCTAAGATGTGGTTACAAGTGGTAACAATGGTCATACTGCCCCTTTTTTTGAATGCCTGATCTGCACTACTGCCCCTCAAATAATCTCAAAGTATCCTTGAAAAATTGATAAATTGGCAAGTTTTCAGTCCTATCAAATAGTCTATGTACTGACACATGTGCAGTGCTTATCAAGCTGCTGCTACTGATTCCAGAGTTAACATCTCCCCGTACACCTTAAATTTCATTTTTCTTTGGCATGCCTGCCAATACAGTCTAACTACAGTATTTTCATACGCATCTTTCTCATTGTACTCGAGTTTCTCAATGGCAAGAGTGATGTATTTGGAGAAACTTTTTCTTTCTTTTTTTTTTTTTTTAAACATCAATGTATGGTTACCTCTTGTGAGTCCCCTGCTAGGAACTGGCCTGCAACCCAGGCATGTGCCCTGACTGGGAATCAAACCGTGGTCGCGTGGTTCACAGGCCCGCGCTCAATCCACTGAGCTACACCAGCCAGGGCTGGAGGAACTTTTTAAAAAAGGCCAAAAACATACAGATACAATTTGATAAGTTTTCACAAACTGGACATACTCATTTCACTGGCACCTGGATCAAAAATCAGGACAGCACCAGCATCCCAGAAGCTGTCCTCAGGCCCCTCTAGTCACTCCCCTTTCCTACGTTCCTTTTACTTATTTAATTATGAAGTCCTCAAATGTGCTACTTTGAGGTCCGTATCTCAGTGAACTCCTGCATGTCAGTCCTGTAACCACCTTCTAGACAGACAATTCCAACACTCGGTGTGGCCTCCAGGATGCCCCCTCCCAGCTCCTCCCCCCCCATCACTCTAACTTGTTACTACTGATCACTTTTGCCAAGCACGTCTGTATTCCTAGCCTAACAAACACTTTTAAAACAACAAATTTAAAAGTGTCCTGTACTTACTGTTTTGTAGCCTGCTTTCTTTTTGTAACTTCTGTCATGACTATTTTTCTGTATCTTTCATATTATGTATTTTTAAATAAGTATTTTATTGGCTGTGTAATGTTTGTGTATAGATGAGTTTTAAAAATATTACTATAGACTTCCACCAAGATGGAGGCATAGGTGGATGTGCCGTGCCTTCTCACACAACCAAGATTAGAGAAAACTAAATATTAGCAACAGAAAACACAGCCAGAACACGGAAAATTGAACTTTTCGGAAGTCCGTTAACAACAAATTCTTCAGCCTGACCGGTAAGGGGCGAAACCAGCGGCTGGCGGAGCAGGGTTGCACAGGAGGACTCGGCCAGACACACTCAGGCCCACAGAATCCAGGCGCAGGGTCAGACCTAGTGAGCGACCCAGCGAGCAACCAGGCGAGCGACCGCGGGGGAGACAGCCGGCCCGGGACTGCGTGTTGACTGAGGTCGCGCATTTTTGCGAGGGTGGACAGGCGAGGGAGTGGGCGGTTGGACCGGGCCGGCAGGTCCCCACGGCAAGCGGCAGTGGAGGGCGCCGCCATTTCCCTGCTCTGACCCCACCTCCACATACAGTGTCATAACCCAGCGACTCTGAGTGGCCCGGCCCAGGTGAACCACCTAAGGCACTGCTCCTGCGCACCCAGCTGTGAGAAGCGGCAGAGGGGGGTCGCCATTTCCCCGCTCTGGCCACGCCCCCACATACAGCGT